ATGACTCCCCTTCCCTCCGAATTATTATAGCTTTGAAAAAATCAAGGGCCTTCAGGCAAGAATATGGGTAAAAGGGAATAACAGTTTTTACTAATATGTATAACCAGGTGACACAAGTAACAATAACAATAGCAACAATCAGCCCAGTCCCAAACCCAGTGCCAGCCTTACAGAGACACACCCTCCCCTTTGGTGCAGTTACAGTYCCAGTCGGCAGGGGCGCTGTTGGCTCCTGGCCGGGCAGGGCGGGTGCGATGATTCCCCGGCGGCTGCAGGGGGCGCTGTGCCGCGGGTCCCGGTGGGTTCAGATCTCCCATGTGGCCAATGGTGGACACAGAATGGCAGGAATGGATGGAGAAAAGTTTCTCTGCAAACTCACAGCGGAAACGCCGATCTTGGTGCTCTTCTGGACAGCAAGAAACCCAGGACGGCAAAGAGACGAGCACAATCCCGCGGCTGCAGATGGGATGGAGCAGAGCTCACCYCTGAAGCTGGAATCGCTCACCCCTGAAGCTGGAATCCCTGGCAAGGCACAGGGAGAAAATCACAGTGCAGCAAGCAGGAACCCAATGAGCAGGGATGCTGGTCTCTGCAGCAAAAGGGCAGGCCAGCTTTCTCCAGAGCAGCCAGCAAGCAGACCTCCTCCTCTCAGCGAAGCAGCCAAGCAACTCCAACTACCCCCCACCACCACACAAATGCACACACATCCAGCGCTTAGCAAGACCTTTTAGGTATCATTGTCTTCGTTAATAGCCCAGCCATTAAAAGGATGACCTGGCAATTAGTGTATCCCAGCAACAAATGGAAAAGAAAAAGTTCCCAAAGAAAGGGAACAAAAGGGGGAAAATCTTAACCCACAACAACTGCTCATCAAAACCAGTCAGCAAATGCTTGCTGCTCCCCATATTTTGTTTTGCRCTATATTTTAACTATGTTTTTGACCATACATAGAATGACAAAATCATTTAGGTTGGAAAAACCTCTAAGATCATGAAGTGCAAACACTAACCCAGCACTGCCAAGCCCATGTGGCTGGGTTAGAGGGGACTGTTATTTTCACAAAGTATTAATGTTTCCTAATTTCTGTTGAAGTTATCTCTTTCATGTAATTACTTGAGATTACTTTCTTYGTTTTCTCTGCCAAATTACTTTTTTTCAAAGAAACGGTATTATGAAATCTTCCCTCGATTTAAAATTATGTATACATAATCACTTCTTTTACCATTTGCCATTCTGTTCTGGTGTGGGTTTTCTGTTCTATAAGTGTAGAGACAGTCTGGGTTAAACAGTTTTACTGATATTAAATACTCTAGTAGTTAGTGGTGCTCTGTCAGTCTTTCCTACAGCATGGAGCTGGAARTAATGGTCCCAAGCTGTCACTGTCTGTGACTAACTTCTGTGGATGTTAGTCCAGCCAGACCTATGCTGCCCATTCATCAGCCTAGTTGCCCCTGTAGTAGATTTCAGTACACACTGAAGTTTTCTGTGGCCATGTCAAGTAGAGAAAATCAAACTGGAGTAATGAGTTCTAAGCTAAGGGACACGTTACTGATGCTCATGGTTGTACAAGAGCTTKCATTTGGACACAGTGCTAAACCCAGAATGTCTCCATGCATTTTTGTCACAGCAGGTCAAAATTTACAAGTCTTCTTGGCACATAATATTCTGGAAAGTRCAACACAAAGGCTGAGGTAGATTGACAGGACAAGTGTTTATCCAGAACTGATAAATCCTGGCTAAATACTTCTGCTCCATATTTTTAATGCATTCCACAGTACCCATGCTATTAGGACTTAATTCACCATTTTCAGACTTCAGTGTCTCTCACAGAGAGAGATCCTCTTAAGGAGTACTAGTGTATAATGAGAGACAAAGAAATCCAAACCACTTAGCCAGAAATGTAATATTCTCTGAAACATCTCTAGATTCCCATATCTACAGTAACCATAATATAACAATTGTCATTAACTTCTGGTCCAGTGTCAGGCAGTAGTGGTCTGTCATRGCCTGTGAGTGTCAAAACTGGCATGTGTAATATGTAGTGCAGTGGATTGATGCTGGCTGGATTCCAGTCACCCACCAAAGCTCTTTAACTTCCCATCACAACAGGATAGGGGAGACAAAATAAAAAGAAAGGTTCATGGGTTTAGATAAGGACTGGGAGAGATGACTCATTGAATACCATCACAGGCAAAGCACACCTGAATTGGAGAAATTAATTGAATATATTACTATCAAAATTAGAGGAGGATAACGAAAAGTGAAACAAGACTTAAAGACTTTCGCCCCACCCTCCCTTCTTCCCAGCTCTGTCTCCTCCCCCCTCAGCAGCACGGGGAGACAGGAATGGTGGTTATAGTGAGTTCATCACCTCTGCTTAGGGAGAGGGGTCCTTCCCCTGCTCCAGGGTAGGGTCCATCCCATGGGAGACAGTTCTCCATGAACTTCACGAACTCCAGCATGAGTCCATCTCAGTTTTCCATGAACTGGTGCAATATAAGTTTATCCCATAGGCAACAGTCCTCCCCAGAATGCTGCAAAGTAAGTCACTCATCTACAGAGTGCAGTTCTTCAAGGACAGTCACAAGTCCCAGCAGGAAACTTCTCTAGCGTGGGTTCCTCTCTCCATGGGTCTGCAGCTCCCTGCCAGGACCCTGCTCAAGCACAGGTCTCTCGCGGGGTCACTGCCTCTCAGCATCCCCCTGCTCCAGCGTGGGTTCCTCATGGGCTGCAGGTGGATCTCTGGATCTCCAGGGACCTCCATGGGCTCAGGGGCACAGCTGCCTCACCCCTGGATGGGAATCTCAGCTCTGGCTGAAGCACCTCCTGTTCCTCCTTCTGCACTGCCCTTGGTGTCTGCAGGGCTGTTCCACTCACATGTTCTCACTCTGCTCTTCTCTGGCTGCAATTACATCTGTACAATAGCTTTTTTTTTTTCTTTCTAAATCTGTTGTCACAGGGCTGTTACCACCATTTCATCAACCCAGCCTTGGCAAGTGGCACTTACATCTTGGGAGCTACCAGAGGTTGGCTCTGCCAGACATGAAGGAAGCTTCTGGCACCTTCACACAGAAGCCACCCATGTGGCTTGCCTGCTACCAAAACCTGGCCAGAGAAGCCCAACATATACAATTAGTGCATATGCAAATTAGATGCAAATTCTGCAGCTATTCTAGCACAGAGTAGTATTTATTGGGTAGAAATGCATCAAGTGGTGTGCTTAGTGTCAAAATCAGTTGTCTGGAAAGACTTGTAGGACTATCAAAAATGGTGGTACAGAACAGTGGTTGAGCAAGGGATGTGAGGCTATTAGAATAATCTTAGAATTAAGACACTTGAGGTCGTTAGGCAAGGATTGGGATTTTAGAGTAAGGGGTGTGAGAGAAGAGTCCTGACACTCAGCAGTGTCTGATACTGTCCTGTTTTGGTTTTTCCTAATGGGTCTCTTGTGTAYTGGACTACAGTGGATTTTGTGAACTGTAAAACAGAAAATCAGAAATAGAAACAAAAATGACAGATAGAGGAGGTAGAGCATAATAAATTTCTCCTGAATGGCCCGCATAAACATGAAAATTTTTTTGTTCTTCAAGCCACTATCCTAATTTTAATCAAGGTTAACTTTTGCAGTAGCGAGGAGGGGGCATGGCTTGGACCTGGAGGATTGTCATGAACTACCTCATGTCGTTCTTAGAGTTGGGGAAAGGAAGCCTCTTCCAAAGAGAAGGGTTTCTTCCAGTTGAGTAAGCATGGTGCCAGTTCTGAGCCAGAGGCAGCAGTTGGATAACATCTCCTTCCGAGCTGGAGGGAGCAGTCAGGTGGCACTCATTGAGCTGTACCATTCCTGAACCACAGCAGCCAAAAACCTTGGGTACCATTAATATCAGATCTTCAGATTACTTAGAGAGGTTTAGTCATTTTACAAGAGCAAAGCAAGAACATGGCAAAATACACAAGTTGTTGCGTTCATATGGAATGCGCACCATTTGGAAAGCTGAGCTATATCTTCCTACAAATAGATCAAGGCAAGAAAATTTGTAGCACGTGTATTGGCAAAAGCAAGCAGTTACCAAAAATTTTAGGAGTTCCTAGACTTTCTACTCTAAGCTTTATATTGCACTTTGTAGTAATAATGCTGTGGTTTGTTTCAAACTCATTCTTGCTGGAAAATGCCCTTCACAAATTACTGCATCCAGCTTTGGGGGTCCCTGCACAGGAAGGACATGGAACTGCTAGAGCACATACAGAGGAGGGCCAGAAAAATAATCAGAGGGATGGAGTACCTCTCATATGGGGACGGACTGAGAATTGGGTTTAATCAAACTGGAAAAGAGAGCTTTGGGGTGACCTAATTGTGGTGTTCCAGTACCTGAAAGGAACCTACAAGAAAGGTGCCCCTATTTACAAGGCATGAAGTGATAGAGCAAGGGGAAAGGCTTCAAACTGCAAGAAGGTAAGTTTAGATTAGGTATTACGTAAAAATTCTTTATTGTGAGGGTGATGAGGCACTGGAACAGGTTGCCCAGAGAAGTTGCGGATGCCCATTATTGGAAGTGTTGGCCAGGTTGGATGGAGCTCTGAGCAATCTGCTCTAGTGAAAGGTGTTCCTGCATATGGCAGGAGGGTGGGGAGTAGATGATCTTTGAGGTCCTGTTCAACTCAAACCATTCCATGTTTCTGTGATTTTTGTAATGCAGCTACATGTAAATTGTTAAAATTCATTTTAAAAGGAGAAATCACAATACAGTTTCACTCAGCCTTTTTGGTTTTGTTACTTCCTTCTTTTACTGTCTTTTTCTCCTTTCGCACAAAGAACTTCTTCTGACATTCCTGTTTCATCAGTATGTTTCATCATCTTGCTAAAAGTGACCTATATTAAATTTAAGAGTATCCCCTGTGTGTACCATCTTTTTAAGCATTAGTTAAAGTGACCTTCCAGACAATTGGTTTATCAAAAATAGTTGAGCTGAATGTGAAAATATGTTCTTTTTTTCTTCTTGCAGCCTGAAAATGATAACCTGCATACAGATGATGAGCATGAACTGAGAGGAGATAAAGAAAGCTATCTCTGTGCTGTGTGTCTAGATGTTTATTTCAATCCTTACATGTGCTATCCATGCCACCATATCTTTTGTGAACCTTGCTTAAGGATGCTTGCCAAAGACAATCCTGCCAGCACTCCATGCCCACTGTGTCGCACTACAATTGCCAGAGTATTTTTCCAAACAGGTATAAAAATGAAAGTTTTTACAACATAGAAGACTATTTGTAGCTTTCCATCCTGTGTGCATGTTGAGCAAATTTTGGTAATGTTAATCCACTGTGAGATWTTCTTCCCCTGTAGTTCCTCCTAGGACCATTCCATGCAGGCACTGCTCAGTGTCAAGAAGCTATTCAGGACATGTACTTTTAACTTTCCATTTTAGAAGTGAGATTCTGATATTTTGTATTTCTTTTGTTTTTTCTTACTAAGTAATGACGCATTCCAAACATAAAAAACATTTCTCCAACTGTCCTACTGGAAAAGTATTTCCTAAATTGCTTACTTAATAGCACACAAAAAAATGCTCTTTTCATTTATGACATTAAATTTGAACACAAGTGAAAATACAGGCTGGAAGAACTCTTCATAATCTTCTTAAATTGTCCCTTCCTGGCCTCTTACACCCTCATCTCTAGTGTTCCTTACTCTTAGCAGCAGGAAAATATGGTGGGTAGGGTTTTATGTCAGATCGGATATAGAAGTAGAAGAGGGTAAGTAGTCCTGCAGATAGAATATCTGGAACAGCATGACTCAGTCTTTTATGTCCGAAGCTTATATGGAATCACTTAAAATGGAAGCACTTAAAACTGTGTATAGACACATCACAAAGTATTGGAAATTACTCAGCCATGCAGGGATGTTTGTTTCATTTTAGATGTCTCAGAGATCTGCAGTGATCCTCTTTAAACTGTTGTGAGTGGTACGATGATAACAGGTTAGAGATGCAGACTGAAGTATGATTTCACATTGATCAGCAGAGCTGCCCACCTTCTGTTTCTGCTTGTGTACAGATTCTTCCTTTGTACAGGCAACATAACTTCGAATGATTTGATGGTAGATCAGTTTGAGAAACTGACTGGGATAAATAAGAACTCATTTAGGTGGGAAGAAGGTATGCCCCAAGATGATTCACTGAGCAGCTGCTGGTGGCCAGGGATAGAGACTGGCCATTCCTGCGCTGACTGTGCTGTAGCAGGGCAAATGCGTGGAGAGCTGCAGTCTGAGCACTCTCAACCTTCTGCCTGTCTGGTGTATAGAGATATCAAGCTGTTCTCATTTCATTTCCATAATGTTTGATGCTTCCCTCAATTTGATGTAAAGATGAAGTGTGTTTCACTGATAGAGAGTCAGGTTTTTCTGAGGCTATTTAAATTTTAAGAAAACTATTTAGCAGATTTGCTATAGAAAAATACTACTGGGAGAGTACAAAAGGAGAATAAAGATGCTTCCTAAAACACATTTGCAAGACTTTTCAACACATTACAGTCATCTAAGTGAAATATTACCGAGATTATTTGTAGCCTTTAAGCCACTATACAATGCATAAAAATGCCTGTTGGGAGGGAGTGAAGAAGAAGGAGCCAGATTCTTCTGAGTGGTGTTCACTGCCAGCACAGGAAGCTTTGGGCATAAATTGAAACACATGAAATCCCAACTGAACACAAGAAAACACTTTTTTTTCATGTGAGGGTGGTCAGACAGGCAGGTCAGAGAGGCTGTGGAGTGCCCATCAAAACCCAGCTGCACATGGTTCTGGGCACTTGGTGCAGCTAAACTTGCATGAGCAGATTGGACTAGTTCTCAAGACACCCCATTCAACCTAACCCACTGTTAAAATATTAAATAGGTATGTAGTTTTTTTGAGGAAAAGGGTTTATGTGATTAAGGAGAATATACAGTAGATTTGTAGAATCTACTAAAAACAGAAACATAACAGTGTATAAGATGTTTAGTATTACCAACTTCAGATGAGAGAAATCAGCAGCTGTTTGTATATTGCCATTCAGTATATAGCATTATATGCTGGACTTAACRATATATTTAAAAGTAGGTGCACTAATTTAGCTTTGTTTTTTAATCTATATTAAGAAAGACATTTTTAAATTTTTCAGTGCGTAACATAATGAACAGCTTTTAAATGAACCAAAGGGCATGGATGATGATACCATATCCTTAGAGAAATTAGTAAAATCAGCACATTAAGAAGATGGATGGTGCCAGAGCAATGTAAAGGATCGTATGGGKTTTTTTTCACTTTGATGATTTATTAAGTCTTTTAAAAGTTATGCTAAAGTCACTGCTGCTACAGGTTTGTGCAGGCAGTAAAGCAAAGTTGCTAGTACTCTTTACATATTTCTCYAATGCTGCAGCTGAGATGTCTTATTTTCCTCAGTAATTTATTTTTGATGTCTTCTGCAGCTTTCAATTTGAATATGTGCATTTATTTTACAAAGATACATCAAAAAGAAAGTTAAGGATATTTTCAGAAGTTCACTGTTTAGCTTGTACAGTTTTGCGACTGAACATAACTGCAATGGAAAGATGCATGTGGAATGTACAAAACCAAAAAAGGCTAACAGGTCAAGTATCTTATCAAGTATTTCTCAATTATGGAGAAAAACAGTGTTTACCTGAGAGCTGCGAGGCCAGATTTGACCCACGAGGATACTTCCTCTGGCTGTTTGCTTTGATCAGCTGAGCCTTTTTTTACAGATTGCCCTTAAAGCATGAGTTCCAGGACAGATAACTTGTTCACCATGCATTACCATCATTCCTAAAYGCTTTGTTAAAAGCCCTTCCTCCCATCAGGATAAACTCAGGTCTGATCAGAYGATAGGGTGCCCAGGATGGTGCTAAGACAACAGCTTTTGGTGTTGCACCAAGTAATTTTCTAAGTTACCAAGTATCTTTTAAATGCTTTGCATATTGGGAGTGATCTTCTACACTTCCATTCATACAAAGTTTCATTTATGTTGTTTCCAAGAAGTTCCAGATCTGACACTCATGTACAATAAATCCACCACTTTGAAGAAATGCAGTCTCAAGTAGTGGTTGTGCAGGGGCAGTCCAGGCATGTGGCAAGGAAAGGGTTGTGGATGTACAAAGACAGGTGACCTGGCCAACCGGAGGGATTGACAGCCTTGCCTGGAAGCATTCTACAAGCCAGCAGGATTTGTCAGCACTGCCTTCTCTGATAAACAGGAATAAGATGCCTCACCAGAGGTTTCAGTATTTAAATTTGGACAATAAAATGGAAAGAATTGTGTTGATTTCTATGGTTTGTAGCAGGAAATTAAAATGTTCTCTGTCTATTCTGTGAGAGGCAAGCAGTCTCATCAGAAGCCTGAATCTTAATAGTACTTAATCCAAATATGTTCAGTAGCATATTAAGCTCTTTCATAAAAATTTTAAAAAGATTAGTGAAAAATACAGTTTGTTCATTTTACATTTAGGAGAGAAAATAGCCCTTCTTTCTTCAGTACAGCAGTTTATATGTGCAGTAGCTCTATTTTCACGTAATGAGATGGAGGATTTGAAGATTTCTGTGCTCTTTGTGTATTGTGTAGCCTCATTCCACCTGCATTGTGACATGGTGAAATAAAGGACAATTTTTACAATAAGACCAGCATGGTTTTTTTACTTCAAATCTGCTAATATCTTCCTCTTACACAGAAAAAGCTACTGGAACCAATGGGTATTTGGAATTTTTTCTTCTTTTTTGTAGCCTGCTCACAAAAAGCTTATCTTACTTAATTTTGCCAGCAAAAAAGATTTTATCCTTTCATAAAATATTTATTATTAGAAAAGTATGTACCATTACATTGGACCACATAAAGTAATAATACACAAGGCTTCTGAAAAAAACTTGTGAATGTCTTTTCTTCTTTTAAGTTACAGAAAAAAATTATGGTAGCAGCTACTATTAGTGTTTATCTGGGGCCATCTTGGTTCGGAGACACAAACTGAGCAGGAGGTTGAAGTTTTTTCCTGTTAACTACAAGCTTAGCAACCCTATTTCTTATCAGCAGATCAATTATATAGTAGGAAAGTACTGGTGTTTTTTTTTTTTAAATTGCTTTCCATTGCATTTCTATGGATAGATTAGTTTGGCAATCATGTAGGTATTTCCCCAAATTATACCCCAAGAAGACGTTGATTTCTTGAGAATAGTAAATAATGCTAAATCCTCCAATGTGTCGTGAATCATCCTACAAATGTTTCCTTAGTTCCTATAAATCCAAAGTATTTTTAAAAATCTCAAAATTACATTGTGTTCCCCTATCTTTGCACTACTGACTGTTACTGAGTGGTGGTGTTAAACAAAAAGCGGTATGAACTGAGAATTAATCCCACGGTCATTTTTACAGATATAATTTTTATTCATAGTTCTGTAAGTTAAATAGCCTGATTTCTTCAATACATCTATTTGCCAGAATTTGACGTCATCTTTTCTGATTTTTTTTTCCAAAGGAGCAGAATCAAGACAGAATGTTTAAGACTTGCTCTTAATATATATGGAAATGCTTGGGTAAATGTGATTTTTTAAAAAAATTAAGGGTTGTTATAATCAGTAAAAGGATTATACAAGTAGAAATGGCATTTTTATTTTATATAAATTCATGCAAATTATTGCTTTATTTAGATCACTGATGTATACGTTCTTTCCCCTTAATTATTGTAGAACTGAATAACTCCACCAGATCTTTTTTCCCTGTGGAATATTTGAAGCTAAAAGAAAATTTTCAAAAATCTAATTCTGCAAAATGGCCACTACCAAGCTGTAAGAAAGCATTCAGAGTTTTTGAAGGTAAGTTTTTTTAGTTTATGCCCAAATATCRTTCAATCTCAAGTGTAGTATTTGAAAATATGTCTGATTAAGGCATACCATTGGCAAACATAAGGATGATTCTTAAAGTAGAGCTGAGTTTGATTCTCCTGGGTGATTCATACACAGTGCTCTGAATCTAAGGATAAACTGCAAATTATAAAAATTTGAGTATGTACCTTTTCATTTATTTTCAAATGTTTAATTCTGTGCAAATTATCAGGATAATTGTATGTAGCTGCCTCTTTAGAAAAATTTCAATCTGCATAATGGAATAAAGAAAATTGCTCTAGGAAAAAGTTACTAGTTCTGAGTTTGGTCAATAAAGACCTCTCAAAAAAAAAAAAAACCAGAATGAGTCTTTTATGAAAGAAGTCAAATAAAAAGTTTTGAATAATTCATACTATTCCATATAGCTTGTTCAATACGTATGAAATGAAGTACAGGGTATGGGTGTTTTAGTTTCATTTTCTCTTTATTGTATGAAGAAAGATTAGTCCTCTTTTTGCTACTTTAACACTTCAATATTTTCATGATTAACTAGTTGTTAACTGAACAACATTTAAGTTAGACCACTTAAATACAGAATTCACTGTTTACCCATATTACCTTGTTTTCAGTCTAATGGCCTTTCTTCGCCAGGCATCATGTGCATTTACATATACTTGTATACTTGTAAATGCTTTTTTATAGAGCTGAATCTTGCTAGCAGATATGTTTTATGTTTATAAGAACAGTATAGATTCTAAAAGTTTGTGGAAAAATTAAACAGTACTTGCATTTTATATTCCTTTTATAAGTCTACCCAGGCCTTTGTAAAGGTGAAATTTGATAAATTCTAGTACTTTGCTCATAAAACTATATCATGTAAGGGCACAGTTTGATAGTGAAAGTATCAAGAAATATTCCTGGCTATCAAGAATAGCTGACTTGAGAAGTTTGAGGACTCGTAGATTATCTTTGGTATTGCTCACAGAATAAGATGACTATGTTCTCTAACAGGAGTTAATCTAGTATCAGTGTTGATGCTGGGCTTGTTTGTTTGTTTTAATACATATTATATATGTGACATAGTTCCTTTATGTTCTGTAGCGTTATATGAATTATAAGCATTGTACAAAGCATAAATAATTAGAAATAAAACTAAGATCTGGAGCGGTCATACAGTTTCAGTATTGTGCTACCTGAAAATTTGGCCTATAGTTCAACAAAGGTAATTTTGAGTACTGGAATCATGTCTCCAAAGGGCAACTTAAGGGTCACACACTAACTGAGAGCATGCTCAAGTCTAGTAAATAGGACACCCAAACCACAAACTTAGTYTGAAACTTTATCTTTGCATTCCTAAATAGAAAATGTCACTGCCGTGTTTCTCTCTTCTGACTTCGTATTTCAATAAAAACTACTGCAGGTCGGTGTGCATTCAAAATGCAAAGATACAGTATTTTCTTCCTGGACTACTTCTTTGGRCTTATATCTAAATTGTGTTTGGCAACACATAAAGTTCCATATTTGATTTTCATAATAGCTTGTATTCTCTGCCTCAGGAGGCTCCTAGGGACTTAACGGCATAAAAGACTGAGAATAGTGGGAGCAAAAGTCTTCTGACACCGTATTAGAATCCATTGCAAATGCAAACCTTTATGTAACTGAGAGCTAAAGGGATAAAGAGATTAATTTTCTTTGAATTAAGAAGGTAATAACCTAGTAAGGCTTTAGAATTTCAGAAGTCAAAATAGAAGAATGGGAAGAGGAATAAAGTGGGTATGTAAGGAGAGGAACTGGAGTGAAAAGGGATGTGATTACAGTGCTTAGAAAGCAATGAAGTCTTGCAGGTTTGAATGTGAAAATAACCACCTCTATATAAGAGTGCATTGTCAAATACTCCAATACAATACTCACATTGTCAAAGAAGAAATTCTGTAGTCATGTTAGTAATGCATATGCTCTTTTGCCTTCATATCCAGCAGATTCAGTGTTCACTGAGAATCTAGTAACTCTTTTCAAACTTCTTAAAATTCCAGCTTTCATTATGACAAAACTTCATCGACAATATCATTTTAATACTCCAGATATAAAAATTGTAAACCTTGAACAGTAAATCACTCATTAGAGATGTTGGATAAAACTAGACCTCAGAGGTAGATTGGGATATGAGGAAAGAAAGATGGTGTTAGGAAGCCTAGATTATATACAACATCTATAAATTTAACTAATTTGAACTTTCTTAATGTTGCAGGACTACTAGATAAAACCAAGCACCTTTTCTTTTCCTTTTTTTGCCTGAACTGATTCACTAAGCAAATATATTTACAAATATATTTGGTAATCTGCATTTAAGTCTTCTTTCATGTGAGATTTTCCATGAGAAATGTAAAATTCACTTTTAACTAATAACACAACCAACCACAGATTTTGAGTTCTTCAACAAAAAGAAAGAAACCTCAGCAGTGCAGCACTTTTGGGCTTTCAAGCTCCAGAGTAGTTTGCCCTTATACTGTACTGTCTTCTTTCCCAATAAAATAATCTACAGAATTCCCATTTGTTTCATAAACATTTCTTATGGTGTTGCTCTCTACATGGTATGCTTTGTTTGGTCAAGGATATTCAAGAATGAAAGCAATTCTTTTCCTGTTCAGATTTTTAATACATGTGAAAGTTAACAAGCCCCTTAAATACTCTAAAATGTCTAAATATTTGTCTAAAATCATATGAGATAAACAAAAATGTTATTTTAGTTATTCTTTTAAGTATTGGCAAGTTTAAAAAATGTAATTGTACAATAGAAATAATATCTCAATTAATGGTTTCCTTAAATATTATTTAAAACAGATAAATAGTGTAGTTTGAATAGGAGAGTTAAATAGCAGATACATTTGATTGGAACCTGTTACCATATATTCATAGCTTAATAACCTAAGTGTGGACTTTATATGCCATAAAAGCAGAATTGCATTCTGTAAGTACTGTACAGTCACAGAAAGTTCACCAACTAAGGGTAAGTCTCCAAAAGCAATTTGATACAGAAATGTGGGCTAAAAGAAGTGATTAAGATAATTTAAATTGCAAATACGATACTTAATGTGACAGTGACTTCAGTGTAATCAAGTGCAGAAATAAAATATTACGGAGACAGTTAGTGCACTGGGCCTAAAAGTGTTATTTCAAAAGTTTTTTGCATAAATTTAAGATAGAAATACATTGAAGAGATAGAGGATAAAGTAGTCAGGATAGTGATGGCAGCGTTGTGGATGGATGCTGGCTGCTTGCATGTAGAATAAGGTTGTAGATATGGCTCAAGAAAAGTAGAGGTAGATGTTCCGAGTGGGAGAAGGGCATCATGAAACCTCTGTGATACAGCCCTTAAAGACTATTTGAAATCATAATTATTCCTAGGCTAATAGGACATTTCCTCCAACTGTTACTGTTGCTAATGTTTTTATTTAAAATAAGGCAATTAAATTGAGCATCTATTTAAAAATAGAATAATTATTCCTATCTTTTCTAATGTTTAATCTAGGAAGCATTTCCCTAGTGTTGCATACAATCAAATTTGTGCAGATTCCTTCCTGATCTCAGCTCTTTAGGTACTTAATAAAAAGATGGACTTCTGCATCAGTCAAGGATTGCACARCAGTGTTTTCCAAGCCAACTAATACCAGTGGAAATTACCACCACTTCAGTAGGTCACATCTGCCAAGTCCTATTATGTAATCATTCTCTAGAGAAAATGGGGCACAATTTCCAACATATTAAAAACAAAAAAAGGATATTTAGAGAAATCTTTTAATAATACCTGTTGATACCTTTTTAATATCTTTATAGGGGTACAACACTAAAATTTACTTTCTTGATTCAAGATTCTTGTTATTGTAATTTCAGATTGATGGGCAACGAAAGGGAAGATTTTAAAAACTGAGAAAATATACAGGTTTTAAGTTCATACTCCCTTGCTTAAAAAGAACCAAAAAAAAAGTGATGCTAGTTTTCAAGTTCAGATACTATGGTCTACTGAGAAGACAAACAATACAGGTTTCACTGAAAATAGAAGGTGCTGCATATAATTTTAGCTATAAAGCATAATGCTGGCATGTAAGAAGACTCTCAGAATAATCCTGATATGGGGCTGTTTTTCCCAAGGTCTGCTGTTTCATCTGTCTTTACAGTACATTTTTTGTTTCAGTTAATTTCCTTATTTCTTCATTTCTTTAAGGTTTTTGTTCCTTTGTCATAGTTCTCAAGGCTGCAGCTGTGGGACTATGCAATGCTTATTCACCAGAAGGCTTTCCTTCTTTAGCCAGGGTCAATCAGATCACAGAATCACAGTCAGGGTGAGAAGGGACATCTGGAGATCACCTCATCCAAACCCTTGCCAAGGCAGGGCCACCCAGGGCAGGTGACTCAGGAACACATCTAGCTGGGGTTTTAATGTCTCTGAAGGAGACTCCACAACCTCCCTGACAGCCTGTTCCCATGCTGTGCCGCCCTCAATGTAGAGAAGTTTATCCTCATGTTGAGGTGGAACTTCTTGTGGTTTAGTTTATGGCCACTGCTCATCTGGACACCACTGAACAGTCTGCCACCATCATATTGGGAACAACCTTTGAGATATGTATGTGTGTCATTGAGCTCCACTCTCAGTATTCCCTTTTCTACACTAAACAGGCCCAGCTCCCTCAGCCTCTCCTCATAAGGTTCTTCAGTATAGATTGTGAAATCACAAAAAATTAATTTGCACACATCTAGTTATCACAAGATGCATTTGCCATCKACAATCTTCACAGAAAGTAAACCTTCTTTTTTTAAAAAAAATGCCTGAAAAAGACACATTTTACTAGAAAGTGTTGTTTTGGAGCATCTGTTATGCTTATAGTACACTAATAGGAAAAACCCAGAATCCAAGCTGTGCTGGTTGAGTGTCTTGGGTCAGCTCCACTGATGGCAACTTYGTCATTTTGCTGATTTGTCAGCACTTGGACCCT